GTACAGTTATACCGTCCCGGGATCTCCCCGCTCACCTCCGTACAGTTATACCGTCCCGGGATCTCCCTCTCCCCTCGGTACAGTTATACCGTCCCGGGATCTCCCCCCTAACCTCCGTACAGTTATACCGTCCCGGGATCTCCCCTCTCACCTCCGTACAGTTATACCGTCCCGGGATCTCCCTCTCCCCTCGGTACAGTTATACCGTCCCGGGATCTCCCCCCTCACCTCCGTACAGTTATACCGTCCCGGGATCTCCCCTCTCACCTTCGTACAGTTATACCGTCCCGGGATCTCCCTCTCCCCTCGGTACAGTTATACCGTCCCGGGATCTCCCCCCCTCCCCTCCGTACAGTTATACCGTCCCGGGATCTCCCCTCTCACCTTCGTACAGTTATACTGTCCCGGGATCCCCCCGCTCACCTCCGTACAAGCTGCTGTAGGTCTGACTGGAGCTCGGCCCTGAGGCGTGCACACCCAGGGAACTCGGGGGCAGCTCATGGAAAGACAATGGCTTGACCCCGCGCGTCAACTCCACAGGGCCCGGTCTGCTAAACGGGTTTCCAGGATCAGGCTGAATCTTGGGCTTCATCTCTTGGATGGCACCTGAGAAGGACAAGGAGAGAGCAGAGTGACCAATAATTTCCTATCCCAATACACTTCACCTCTAATCAGGCCTCTGACCCAGCACCTGGTTCCAGAAAATGTTTTTCTAATTTTTGGTGAAAGTTTTTATTCCTGTGTTCCAGATGCAGAAATGTCCTGGTGACAGGTGACTCCAGACTCTGCCCCTGCCACCCCCACAGCCTGACCACAGACCCTCCCCTCACAAATAGCCGAAGGACAGATTCAACCACCCCCACCAACCACACAGCCGGACCATATACCCCCCCCGCCCCCGGCACAAACACACATGCCCTGACCACAGACCCCCTCCCCCCCATGGCCTGACCCCAGATATCCACCCCCTCTGACACCACATCCTGACCAAAAACTCCTCCCCTGGTGCTGGATGGGGCATCAAAGCCACGGGCCCGATGAAGGGTGTTACCTTGTTGCTGCTGTGTGCTCTCCGGAGATAAAGACATAGACTCCAGAGCATCCTCCAGCTCCAGGACCTGTTTACGCAGCCTCTCCCCCTGGTCGGGGAGCAACTTCAGATTGACAGAAGCCAAAACGGCCTGAAAATAAACGGAGGGGAGAAGAGCAGAGAAGGAGTTACGTATGGGAGGTGCTATGATGAGCAGAAGAGCCCCTGCCACGTGCTTCAACTCCACCTTCCGGTCATTACATGACTGCTGTGTCCCTGGACATCCTGCAGGGGG